TTAAAATTACAAGAGTAAATATATTATTTATATCTTAATATCGTCATTGTTTGAATCAATTCCTATATAATAGAGATGAAATTTGAATCTGCATGCATAACTTAGGTAGATGAGTATCAATTCGGACAACTTAAAATGCTAGTAGAAGAATCAATAGAAGATCTTTAAAGGGGACAAATTTAACTATTACCAAGCCACTTATCAAGGCATGGAGAATGAAATCTATGGTAACATTTAGGCATAACTTTAACATTTTCTTGTCTTCATAGGATCCCAAACATATTGAGCATTCACTGTCCATGTAATTCAAGATTAGTTCATGTAATGCTACAAACATTACATTTACTTAAAATTATTAGCCGTTTTGCTGATTATTGGTCAAAGAAAAGCTAAAATGAGAAGTTTACATTAAATTATTTTTAAATTTAGAAAGGGATCATTTCTTTTTTAACATACCAAATAGGATATAGGATCACGTTAATTGGAAGAAAGGAAATATCTTTTCTTTTTCAATGAACGATAACCATTTGTATATGATTGAGTATGAAATTTAAAAAAAATTACCGTAGCAAAAGTACCATGGAAAATGAAAAATTTAAAGGTAAAACTTTTAACAAAAAAGAATGCATCATTTTTTAGAGACGGTCTAAATAAACAATATCACATTAAATAAAATGGATGGAGCAATACCTAGAAACTCCTTTTTTTCCCCTCTTGTTCAGTCATTCCTATATAATATTTTTTTCTTGTTTCTTTAACCCATGTTTCTATTCTCTACATACATTTAATGTACAGTATTTAGTATTGTTTATTTAGAGCTATACATTTAATCTTTCTCTTTATACTTTTAATGAAAGGAAGATTGTGTACCGGCACCTTTCCTGGTATCAAAATCTATCTGATATATTTTCTTATAGGCTAAAGAATCTAAAGGCTAAAAAGGGGGAAAAAATATAGGAAAATACAGAAAAAATAAAACATCTCTTTCTTCTGCAACTTTCCGACGTTAACCAAATCAAAAAGCATTCCGTCCATCCATAATCACCTAACTTAATTTTTTTCTCCTCCTTTTTTTTTGTACTTTCTATTTTATGAAAATAGGTAGAAAGCACCAAGACTTGATGAATGACTTACTACTCAATTGCTTTTATTAGCCATAGTAATTATCTTATCCTCTTTAGGTTAAAAAAGGTTCTACCCTAAAATTCCAAGTGAAAAGTAGGACAACAGAGAGCCTAAATTATGATACCCTTTAACAAGTAGCAACTATCGATATTTACATTGAGTAGATGAAAAATCGGATCTGAAATTGGAACTACCAAAGTAGATGAAAAAAATTGATAAATTAGTTCTTGGGGAAAAAAAGTAGGAGACATTCAGATCTGAAATTAGAAAATTCAAAGTAGATGAAAAAAACTGATAAAGTAATTCTTGATAGAAGTTTGAATGAACAATAATGGAACCTACAAAAAATTTCAGCATGAAATTCGAAATTTTGAAAAGAGATGGAAAGGAGATGAGGAAAAAATTTACCAAGCTAGATGAATCAAAGTAAAGGAAATGAAAGTGACTTACAGATGAGTAAAGGATATGAAAGTGACTGAGCAGAGTAGATGAAAATGACTGGAAAAGTATAGGGTGTTAGATTTTTTGATGGATGCAAGATTTTGACGGAAAAGTGTAAAATAGTGTAGATAAAATAATATTAAAACAATAAGATGAGAGGGTATAATGACAAATATATTCTTGGTCGACCAACTTCTCATTTCTATAGAATAGAAATGTGAAATTTAACCGCTCAATAATTTTATTTAACTGCTTGCATATGTGTAATTTAATAGAGGGTTTTACATTATTTCGATTACAAGGAATTCAAATGATTCTCACTTCTCGGACGAGTTTACTTTTAATCAAATGCTTTTGAGAATTACTAACAAAAATACCAAAAAATGGAGATGCGGGGTATCGATCCCTGTACCTCTCGCATGCTAAGCGAGCGCTCTACCATCTGAGCTACATCCCCATCTGATATTTAGCTTGTTCTAAATACCTAATATACATAAAAACTTCCTTTCTTGGTTTATACTTCATTACCTTGCAAAATCATTTTAAAGTTAATTCCAATTCAATTTGCAGCCTCATATATGCAATTTTCAACTACTGTGCCACTTCAAATATATGTTTTAAAGGAATAAAAGAAAGCGTTTCTTTTTCCATAAAGAAGATTCCCTAACTTATGACTCGAAATTAGATATCAATTTCAACAATACAACTATGGCTCAATCTCAAACAAGTTAATTGTTACACAGTTACAACATTGTTTCACTAAGAACATTGGGAGCTTTATATTGGATATATAAGAAACTCTTTTATTTTGGCATTTCTCTTTTTAAGCTTTCCATTATTTTAAGGGGCCATTGGACATAGTGGGAAGATATAGACAGAATCAATTCATATCAATCACTTCTCGTCTAACAATTCTTCTTTCATCTGTTCTGATTCCCTAACCACCCATAAGAATTTATCTTTACATCGTTTCAATCCCCAACACAGTTCTTCTATTTGGTCAACTTCTAGCTTTGCCATACTACCAAATGACAGATTCATTTGGTTGTTCATTCAGCCATTTCTTACAAGTATCTGTCTCTAGCTTGTACATTGTCAGACCATACTCTTTGTCATCTTGGATTTGCTTATCACATCGATGGTATAGAAAAAACTTCATGTAACTAACTATTTTTCTCATATAGTTTGCTGTCCTTCTAATGTTATATTTAGTTTAATGTCCTCGTGAGCACCTAATTTTTTTACCATACTTGGGATTTTTCAACACTTTTTAGTATGTAAATAATTTTAAGCTTAATCTACGTATTTTAACCTTTATTTCATTTTTAGTAGGTTTTATTTAAGAAAATTAAAAATCACAAAAAAATAAATTATATGTTCTTAATTTTAAAATATTTAGCTAGTATTTTTATTTTTACACTCTTAAAAGAAAAGAAAAGATATTAATTAAAGCAAGAGCCAATGAGTCATTTCCATGTGGCAAGAAACTCACATGCTCCCCCTCAAAACAAACATGCCCATTTTTTTTTCCAAGTTTAAATTCCATAATCTATGACTTCCACATGAAATCCCAAACAAGTGTAGGAAATATAATCAATTTTAAACATCGTAGTTTGCTTTAGGCACGAATTAAATCATCATAGTTATGGGTACGGTTCCCGTAGCATAGTTGTGATACATAATCCCCAATTCGGGTGCGCATTTCATGTGACCTGACCATAACTTCAAACAATAATAAAAGTAAACATGTTGTAGATCGCGGGTACAGTTCACGTGACGCGATTCGCAATGTGTATAAAAACAAACAAGTGCGGGACATCGCGACTTGTTCAAACAAATTCCATAAACGCTAAAAGGCGATTAAATTAATTGAAAGCGGATAGAAGTTAAAAATGCACAAGAGGTTCTAAATATATAATTAATCAGATAATTAGGACAATTATTAATAGTTGAGAGACCGTGCTAAAACCACGAAACCCGGGAATGCCTAACACCTTCTCTAGGGTTAACAGAATTCCTTACCCGGTCTTCTGGTTTTCGCAGACTTTAAAACATAGTCAAATTTCCTCGATTTGGGATTATAAAATGAACCGGTGACTTGGGATACCACAAATATTCCAAGTGGCGACTCTGAATAAATAAATAATCCCATTTTGATTAAAGTCACTTTAATTGGAAAAACTCCTTATCCCCTCGGGAAAAAGGAAGTGTGACAGCTCTGGCGACTCTGCTGGGGAAAAGAACCCAGAACTTCTGGTTCAGGGTTCAGAATTCGAGCTTAGAATTACTGTTATATTTGGATTTCGTTTATTATCTGATTTTTACGTGTTTAAGCCTAATGTGCTAAATACCGCTTTGATATTGATTAAACTGTATATAAACTGTTACGAAAGTGAGCTTCCTCGCCGCATTTGAAGCTCCTACTTCTGGATCTTGTGGAGTCTCTTCCTCTCTTGGCGGAATCGCCGTTTGCATTACTGAAGGAGCACTCCCCATCCCTAGCATCCAATGCATCAATTGAATTGGCTCTAGTGTTTGGGGAACGCCAGATTCTGGTGTTATTTGCCTAGATGTACCTTCGTTAGCTTTAGGTGAGGCCGGCGCCGGAGCAACTTGCCGCTTCTTCCTCGCCATTTCGACTGGTGGCGCACGTTAGTAACCCTAACGTAACATGCGCCCGTATCGGGTAAACTAATTCGTCCTTGTGGTGCGTTGTTACATGACAAAATCTCATGATATTCCATGTTTGTTGGCTGCCGCTTGAAAAAAGGGGCCAAACAATACTCAGTATAGTTTAGTTAAAATGGTCAACTTGTCATAAGTACGTGAAACTCTATATAAGTTCCAAAAGTTGATCCGAAATATATTTTGTAAGAAAGTTGAGTAAAATGGCCACTCGTTTTAAAGTCCATTTCAATATTATATGTTACTCCTGTGATCGTATACTTTAATTTGCAAAATATCATGTTCAGGATTACTTGGCCATAAAAAAGGGGAGAAAAAATGCACTGCCGCAAATGTTATTCAATTTCAGATTCTGTTGCAAATCGCTCGTGTTGGAGCTTTTTCCTTTTTTTCAAATATTAATATTCCTGGTTTTCTTTCATTCATTTTTTTTTTCTTGTAAGTACTGTTATGCTACGTTTAAATCTGATTTTAAAAAACTGAAAATTAGGATTTTCGGAAGAATTTTGACCCTTTTCAAAATGTAAAGGGGTTAAGAATTCTATTTTTAAGTTGGATTCGCTTTAAAAAATTTAGAATATAGTTCTGCTCAATTGTCAATGTTTGAAATGCTTGGTTTTGTTTACTTATTTACAAGAAACACATCACAAGACTAAGATGCATTTGCCAACATGTGGACCTTCTAGTCCTCCTTCAGAGTTAGAGAGTACTTACTTCATAATGTGCCGGTAGGCAGAGTTACCTAGTACTGATAGGAGGTAGCAAGTATCAGTAAATTAGTCGAGGTTCGTACAAGTTGGTCCGGACATCACCACAACTGTTTCAAAAAGAAAGAAAAAAATACCGTAGAAATGACACCAGTTAGCCACTCTAAAGGTTTGCTCTTTAGAGTGCATTCTGAATTTCACTTTTGCAGTTCAATTTTTCGGGACAAAAATGTCATGAATTGTCCTGAAGTTAAAATTTCAGAATAAAATAAGTACTGATTAATCTCTAAACAGCATCCCTGAGAATGGCTATCTGCGCACTTGCCTCAAAAATACCTTATAATTACCGCAAGCCTGCAACTTTTCAGGTGGTAGTCTTCTGTTAGCAACAACAGTTGATATATATATATAACAGCTGTGCTGTAATTCCAAATCTTGTCCTAAATATGGTTTTGCTCCAGCCACATTTGATGGGCTCACCGTCTAAGGTACCAACTTCCTTGAGCATCTTCTGCAATAAATTTGCAAAGGGAACTAGAAAAATCTCTAGGCCAAATAACAATGTCACTTCCTGATATATCCATCTTTGATAAATAATCAGCTGCTCTGTTTGTTTCGCGCCACGAATGAGTAACTTGGTACTTCTGAAACTTCTTCAAGATTTTCCAAATGTGTATTAGACAGCTACTAGCCTTCTGACTATATGGCTGCTCTTTGTTAATGGCTTTCACTGCACTCATTGAGTCGGATTCTACCCATATCATTTTGATCCCTATACTCGCAGCAAGTGTAAGGCCTCTCCAAATAGCTAGTAACTCAACCAAGAAGATATCGTCACACGGAACCTTAGAGATGCAAGCACATAAAGGAACACCTTCATCATCGCGAAGCAAACAACCAAGACCAGAATTTTTTCGGTCTATAGATCCATCTGTATTTAGCTTTATCCATCCAAACTCAGGCTTTTTCCAAGTGCAGCACTTAACTGGTCGTCTCATTGGCAAATTAAAACCTCTTAGTTCCACAAACTTTTCAGATTTTAGCCGGTTCAAACTCTTAAGTAAATCTGTTAAATAATTTCCCTCTAACTTTGAAGCAAATTTGGCTTTTTTACTTGCCATCATTCCGTGTTTCCTTTCTTCTTCTTCTTCCTTCAATTTGTGCTTCCTACCTTGGATGTGTTGCTTAAGACATTTCTCGCTAGAAGTGCTCACAAGACATAACGCGCAGCTCCAGTCCATTTGAACTTTCTTAGGATAAATTGGCCAATCACTCGTAGGAGAAGATTCAACCTGAAACAGAATTACAAACAACAGCATAACCAAAAGGTTCATAAGAGAAGGAGTTTGCAGGGGAAAACTATGATTACCTCATAACTGACCAAACTTTGCAGGTTGTCCTTTTCCTTCTGTTCAACACGTATCGGTGCTGCATCAATATAATCACTGATCTTCATGGGCATGCAATCGTTATTTTCCGTGACCTTTTCCGCGCGTGGATTTGGGGAAACACATGGCTTTACAAAGTGCATATACACATGAGAAGCAACACTAAACTGAGGCATCACGAGCAAGAGGGATGCTAATCCTTTTGCATAAAGCCAAAATGAAAACCTGAAGAAAGCAACAAAGATAAACGCTTGGTGAGAGTCATGAACTGAGCACGACAAGAACAGCCGAGAGATCAACTACGACTTGCTATAAGGTTCTGAATTTATAATTGCTAACATAAATCCATACATTTTCTCATCAAAAGAAGATGTCATCTCTAAGTGAAAAAGTTAGCAGTCAAGAGAACCAAACGCTTGAAGCTCTAGCTAAAACAATCTTTCTCTTTCATTTTCATGTAAAACAATCATACATTTTTTACTTTCTAATGGAGTTCAAATTAGTGCCTCAAGTAGGGATTTTGTTAGAGGCCCCACCCAACAGGTAATGGATAGATTAACCAATGCAATGATGTTGCATTTGAGCTCTTTACATTATCATGTAAAACATGAGATATGTCTTATATTCGTGTAGTGGTCAACACATTATCTGAGATCAGGGGCGTATACACTTTGTCCTATGCAGTGTCCTCTTCTTCGAAATCTTTTACTAGATATGTATAAGAAAAATAAAAATATTGGGGATAAGTATAAAAAACGACACAGCTTAGCATTATAGTAATTAATTTATTTGTACAGTTTTTCAAATCGTGACACCACTTATGAAAAACTTGCGTACGCCACTGTCTGAGATGGAGTGACTACTCAGCTGTTATTGCAGATGCTGAGTGTTCTCTCTCACCCATCCAAACAAATGGTAGTTCTAAATGAGCCTTCACCGCAGCCTTGCCTGCATTTTAGAAGTTCTTATGCCTATATAGTATCGAACTGTACTGAGCAATTTAGTTTCAGCCATCAGTCACAGCTGATACTGTCACACTTAACTTGCTACAACAAAGTAGAACTAGATTCTTACCCACTAAGTAAGCATGAGATTTCTTTTGCAAATAATGTCTCACTAGATTAACAAAGAAAGCAGTTCCATCTGTTATAGCAATCACATAACATAAATTACATTCAAAATACCAAGCAATCGAGATTTTCCTATAATTTAACCACCAATGTTAATCGTCCAAAGGTGGACAGCTTGCATATAAGAAGTCTAAAAACATTTCTGTATAAACGGCAGCCAGGTGCACTAAGCTCCAGCTATGCGAGGGATCCGGGAAAGGGCCGGACCACAAGGATCTATTGTACACAACCTTACCCTACATTTCAGCAAGAGGTTGTTTCCACGGCTCGAACCGGTGACCTCTTGGTCACATGGCAGCAACTTTACCAATTACGCCAAGACTCCCATCAAAAACATTTATGTATACAAAAGCAAAAATGAAAGATTACCCAGTCAAAGGCTTTGCAAAAGTCAACTCCAATACAGTGGTTAATCCAAATAGAACCCAATATTGAAGACACTTTTGGTAGCTGGATGCTTTATCACTCTCTATCGCCCGAATTGATGCATATCTGCTTTGCCAAGAATAGCACAACATATAATAGCCTGAGTATCCCAGTTCACATATCCACCAAAAATTCAAAGAAACATTAGAAAATTAAATAATTCTTTATTAACTTACAGAGGACACAGCAATGTCACTGATGGTCTACAAACTATCCAAAAAGAACTGTTGCAAAAAAAAAAAAAAAATTAAAGACAAGAGCAGCTGATCTAAACAAAACTCAAAGGCTTAACAAATAACAAATTCCTGAAAAATAGGACAAAAAATTGGCAACCCCACAAGAGAACAATGTGCCACAATTACTAACTAACTCCAAAATATTAAACAAAGCAATCAAGATTGTGTCTTTTGGTCAAGAAAAAGATTAAAAAGTAGGAAAACTTAGTTACTGGAAGAGAAATGGAAGCTATAGGAAATACTTACCAAGACAGCAAAATTTTGGCTGAAATCAGAAGAAAGTTGATCAGACCCATTGTTTACTGCTGTTTCCAAATTCTTGCCTCCTTGTTATGCAAAATTTTAACTTTTATTTAATTATTTTTTATTATTCATGCATGTCTTAGAATTTGATTGGTCTTGGAAAAGCAAAGGGAAAATTAGTTTGCAGTGAGAATGGAAAACGAATAGACTTTCTGCCTTTCAGGCTAAGAGTCAATGGCTGGTCAATTATCCAATAAGGAAAAAGGGGTGGGGTGTGTTTTTTTTTTTTTTTTTTGGGGGGGGGGGGGGGGTTGTTTGGTAAGAAACTTAGTAGGCGTTTGGACATAAGAATTGTAAAATTCCAAAAAATGGTGAAAAAAAATTTCAAGTGAAAATGGTATTTGAAATTTAGAGTTGTGTTTGGACATAAATTTCAGTTTGGGTTGTTTTTGAAGTTTTGTGAGTGATTTGAGTGAAAATTTTGAAAAACAGTTCTTTGGAGTTTTTTAAATTTTTAAAAATTTTCAAAATGCATCTTCAAGTGAAAATTGAAAATTTTATGAACAAACGCTTATTTCGGAAAAAAGTGAAATTTGAAAAAAAAAAACAATTATGTCCGAACGGGCTCTTAGAACCGTTTGGACATAAGAAATTTTTCCTTTTTTTCCAAAACAAATTCACTTTTTGCGAAATCAGCATTTGTTCATAAAATTTTCAATTTTTCATTTGAAGATGCATATTGGAAATTTTCGAAAATTTGAAAAACTCCAAAAATCCGTTTTCAAAATTTTCACTCAGATTACTCACAAAACTTCAAAACAACCCAAAATTAAAGTTATGTCCAAACACAACTCAAAATTTCAATACCATTTTCACTTAAAAAAAGTTTTCATCCTTTTTTGAAATTTTACAATTCTTACCAAGCCTTTCTCTTCTTTTTTTTCCCTTGTGGTTTTTCACCCGTGTCAGGTAGCATTAGGAGCTCGACAAATAAAGATTTATGATAATAGGCTAAGTCTCGATGATTTGGCGATTGTTTATGCTCCCGCTTGATTATGTTTCAATGTCATAATATGGTTAATTGATGAAAAATGGGCTCTAATTGTGAATTTTACACATTGCAGGAAGGTGAGCCTATATGATGCCTTAAAGTTGTGATTGGAGTTGCATTGGAGCAAGAAAGACCCCTCGGAGCTGAGTGCGCGCAAAGACGAGACAACGAATTGAAGAAAAAAATGGCCTGAACTAGCGCGAAGCCTAGCGCGAGGTCTAGCGCGTTCGCGCTAGTCCAGAAGCGGGAGGTAGAATGTCAGGAAATTAGCGCGAACATTAGCGCGTTCGCGCTAGTCCCAGTTCCGGAAAAGGTTTGTTTAGGGGCAAAATCGAAAATCTGGAGGAATTTTCACTTAACCTATATAAAGTCAAGCTCGCCCAAGGAGTAAGATATCAAGGTTTTCATAGTCTAGTGCAAGAAATAGAGAGGCAAGAGGCAAGGAGGAGATTTGATCATCAAGTTCTTCTTTTCTTCCCTTTGTTTTTGTTATTTGTGATGAAATTGAACCTTATTGTGATGAATACTAGTATGAGTGGCTAAAACCCATTGTTCTAGGGTCATGGGTGAAACATGAATGTTGTTGTTTGAAGTTTAATTCGACAAAGTTGGTTTATCATATTGGGTTGTTTATTTAATTCTGGTTTTAATTATTTTGCTGAGTAGCTAACAGTGAAAACCCAACTATCTACGAATCTTTAGTTGAACTCGAAAGTGAGAACTTTAGATTGCATATAGAACTAAATAGAGCAAGTTCTTGAACCTGGGCATCGGGGAGCGGATTAGCAATTGGGATAGACATATACCCAATTGCCTTGCTTGGTTGAAATACAGGAATTGTAAATGCATTCTTGTTAATCTTGATTCCATAGACATATAGGCATTGAGTTAACTTGAATAGGCGAGTAAGAACTCGACAGATTCTTATGAGTAATATCAACCATGTCAATCAACAATCCAAATAAATCAATTAGTCGTTTTAAGCCAAGAACACAACACGATTGTCAGTTAGCCCGTGACCCTGGAATATCCTCTCCTACTGATTGTTATTCGAAATTGCTGGTTGTTTGGTTAATTGTTCTAGTTAAATTATTGCTTGATAGTTTAGGTAGTAAATTAGTTACATCTCCATTTTGTGAAAAACCTCTTGGATAGATAAGTTAATTGAGTTTGAATCAGTCAACAGTTAATCACAAGTCTTCGTGGGAACGATACTCTACTCGCTACTTTATTACTTGACGATCACGTGCACTTGCGTGAGTGTTTTGATCGCAATAATTTACACTATGTAAGTGATGTTTGGCTATAATTTTATATTTTTAGTGCATTATTTACTTTACATTTTGGGACTTTAATGCTAAAATATACTATATTTGTGCTTAATTGAATTTATTTTATGCATAGGTACGTTAAAGACAAAATTAGAAGCAAAATAAAAATTTTATGTGTATTTTATACCGTACAAGAATGGAGTTATGATAAATTAACTATTGAATAAACAATGAGTAAAGTGTAACATTACAAAAGAAGACAAAAGTCAATTGAAAAAGAAGACAAAATCGTGAAATTGGGAAGTAGGCAAAGCAACTCAAAAGTGAAGCAGAAAGAAGTTAGGCGAAGCGAGCCATTTTGCTCGCGTTAGAGCAGGCGAGGCGAGGCGAGGTATTTTGCTGGCGTTTGAGCTCGCTAGGCGCGGTCTGTAGCGAGGTTATTTACATTGAAAATGGTAAATAAAATAAAATTTAATTTTGTGGTTCTAAAAATACGTGATTTATTTTTATGCTAGTTGTTAAGCGTTAGATGCTAAGTGTGAGTTAGAAAAGTAAAGTAAGAGTGAGAGGCAGTGTTGTTATTCCAACCGAACGGCTACGAATCGGGTTCTCGGACTGGCCTAAGCTGGGCCTCGAGGTTGAGCTAATGAGCTCGACTGGGGATGATCAATGAAGGACTAACAGTTCCAAGGGCCTCAATGATGGCTCTTTATGATCAATGACGAATACTAAACGAGGAAACAATCAATGAAACACAATAAACGTAAGCAATAAATCAAAGGAAAGACAATGGAGAATGTTTAAGTTAGAGAGCAGAGAATGTTCTTCTTCTTGTATTGAATATCATGTGTGCAAGAAATAACAAGGGTCCCCTTTATATAGGAGGGGGAATCCCAACATGGTACATGTGCATTTATTGCAAAGATATACGGCTGGTACAACCATTATTACAAAGATATGCGGCTGGTACAACTATTTAATGTCACGGTACGGACTTGTACTATTCTTGTAGACCCGGTCAGCTCTAACCACGTGCTTTGTGATTTTTTTCTTGTCCATCATAGCCACCGATTTGCACTGCCCCGAGGTCGAACATAGGGAACCCTCAGGGTTGAACCTCGAGTTGTTCCTCGAGCCTTCTAGAGACGGGCTATGGAGCGTCATAATGATCATAAAATCGGACTTTCCGATATTAGCCGTATACAGAGGTGCTTCGCGTGTTCAGGATTTCAAGTTTATTTTGTCACCTTTTTAGTTTTGGACTTGGTTATTTCGTCTAGGCCTTTTCCCTACACATATAAATAGTCATTAAACACCATTTTTAGAGGAGATTGGACGAAGGGAGAGCACAGAGCCGCCGTGGAGGCCGGAATTCATCAAATTCTATCTTTTTTCCATCAAACTTAGTAATCTTTACTTTTTCTTGATGATTTGTTGTTTTGCTACCATGTCTATGTGGAACTAAACTTAGAGTTCTAGGGTTGTGGTTGTCATGAATATTGAAGTTTATTAATTATATTACCATTAATTCGAGTTATCATCTTTGGTTGTTTCTTTAATTATGTGCATAATTGCTTAATTGTTTAGCCAGCAGTTGAGTTCTATTTACTACTACCCCACACTTAAATGTTGCTCGTCCTCGAGCAATCAAACTACACTATATATAGACACGACCTTTTTAAACAATTCTCCTAACTCATCACACCAAGAATCATTAAAATATACTAAGCACAAGAGTGTGACATCTTCACCTCAAGATTTGACTCACAAGTACCATGCATTATTCACAACTCACTTACTTACTCTAACATAGAGGTTAATGACATTACCTTTCCTTCATGAATCAAGTGCCCTCACACAACAAAAGAGAGTAGTTCCACACACTGTATTGGGTGATACCCTTTTTTGCTTGAGCCCGACCGGGTTGGGTCCGGTCCGGAGCGAGTCGGGGCCATCGAACCCGACCTGGATGCAAGGTAGAACGACGGCCACGTCTACAACCGAGGTCGAGTCATTTCGAGACCGTTACAGAGCTCGATATGAGTCACCACCGGATGGAGAAACACACAAGGTCGGAAGCCGGACTCGTAACGGATAACCAAGCGTCGCCGGATATCTCGCCCAAACGTGATTTTCTCAACCACTTCAGGCCATTAAGGCGTAATTACAGGGATCCACGATGTAATCAATTTACCTACCTTATTTTTACCCTTAATCAGAATGTATAAAAGGAGATCTCTCTAAATTCTTGTAGGCATCAAGCACAATTGTTCTAAGCAATATTATATTCTGCGATTATTTACTTTAACAGCAATTGTTGAGTCTTTATCTTTATTTTTCCTCAAAACCTTTTGTATCTTTTAGTTCACGGATCCTTAAAACCCCATATAAATTCAATTGTTATCCGGATTCGAGGGTAAACAGTTTGGCGCCCACCGTGGGGCTAAGGATATTGGTGAGCTCTTTGATACTCTTTCTTGACGCATCACAATACACTGGTTCTTTGCAAAAGAGCCCATATTACATTCAAATTACCAACTCATAGAATGGCACAATCAATTAACAACGAACTTGAACAGCAGACAGGAAACAATGGAATGCCCGGGCTCGAAAACCCGATAGGTGCCGGTTCCCGGATGGCGCTCAACACTGATCAGGCCTCCGGATCATCGCATAGCGTCCGGGGAGAGGACGATTCGAGGGCCCAGGCAGACGGCGAAGAGACTATCAACCTTAAAATGATTTTTGACATGCTGCAAGCCCAGCAATCGGCTATAGCTCAGCTCCAGAGCCGGGTCCAGGAGCCTGTCAGGTCCGGAGGAGGCTCCCGTG